AGTAGAAGCGGAAGACAGAGGAGATAGAGGTGACTTGAAATGGGAAGGTCACACAAGGGGGTAAGATGTGGCTTCTTCACCTGAGAAGACACAGAGGGTTCTTCACCTGATCATGTTGGCTCTAGGGATACAATCATGAAATTTCTGGAGGAAGGCCACAGCTCCTAAGCTTTAACACTTTATCAGAAGTTCTCAGTTCTTGCTTTTTAAGGTGTGCCAGGAGGTAAAATATTTGCTTCCAAATATCTCCAGGCTCTCCTTGACATACCCGTTCACACTGTAGATATTTTAACATTAGTTTTCACACATCAAAGCTTTTGCTAATAGTGTTGCTTTTCAGTGTTTACCTGGTGGTTGTTTTGTCTGCCAGACCGACTGTGGTCTTCTCAGAGGCTGAAGCTGTATCTTAGTGAGTGGTGGTTAAATACCATTGGTTAATTGCATTTGCAGGTGGGATGAGAACTCTGGTATTTCTTCTCTTTCACAAGACCACATGGTCAAAAAAAGCAAAGACTACTAGGTGGTTTTAACAAATAGTTTCTTCTGTATTCCAGAACATTCACTAATATATGGGAAAAAAGCATGCCACTGCATCTGTTAAGTGTCAGTAGACGTTTTAGGCAGCTGGAAGGCAAAAATATATCAAAATATAGCAGAATACTCCCCCAACTCACATCCACTCTGTAGCTGTTCTCTGGTTTCAGGAAATCTTCATCCTTGTCAGGAGAGTCTGCAGGGAACTTGTCCAGAGTTCCTACAGCAGCCCCAGGCCAGCCGGCAGTATCTCCTGCAGAGTGGGATTTCTGTGAAAAAGGCAGCACTTCTGGTAAATTCAGAGAAATTAAAAGGCTATACGGCTATAGGCAAATGTATTCACGTTAAATCTGTACTGTGTTCCAGAAGGAAATGGCTTTATTCATCAGCTGCCTATTTGCAATTGCCATTTGTTTCCAAGTAAGGGAATATTACCAAAAATGTTTATTTTTTAGCTTATTCAAATATTTACATTTTCTCTAGCTTCTTTTCTGAAACATTTTGGCTCACTCTTTTTTTCTGATAAACAACTGCTGTTTAGATTTCCTTTGTTCCAGTAGATTATGAATGTTAGCTTTAGAACGGATCTGTTTCTTCAAAGGATCATGGGCAAGTGAGAATCCATATAGATCGATACATGGCAAAGTAAAGAAAATTGGACAGTGATAATTGGCAGTTTGTTCTCTAACCCCAGAAACTGCAGTCTAAAAAATTAATATCCTAAGGATTTCAGAGAGAGAAGAGAACTGCCTTGTGAATGCCTGGCATGTTTAGATAGTCCCTCAAAAAGGGAGCCAGCAGAGGGGCAGGCTTCTGTGCTTTATACTCCTTGTTCCTCCAGGCTACTTTTCTAGCCAAAGGGTCAGCCTTCGCAAATCTTCTACCCAGCTCCACTCACAAGCTCATTTCCCTCCTCCTCGCCTCTCTGAGATACTCGGGTGCTAATCTTGTCCCCTGCCCTCTGCATTGCCATTAGGGCCTTTGACCCCGTTTGCCATTCTCTGCTTTCCTAGAAGTTCTGGTCCTTGGTTAGCTGTGCCTCTGCTTATAATAACTGAGACCTAGAATAAAAGAGACAGCAAATGTGGGGAAACATACATTTGGCTTTGAATCTGTTAAGTTTGAGAGCGATAAGATTATAATATATATATATATATATCTAGTAGGTAATTGGGCATATGGGAGAGCTTGAAGGTATAAGAGAGTGAGAGACAAGTGGATGATACGAGATTCTATCAGTGGTGAAATGGACTAGAACCTAACATACTAGAAGAGAGTTCATTATTTAGAGAGGAGGATATATCTCTCCTTGGGACTGGAGTACAGAGGTTGAGTACTCTAACAGATCTCTCTGGTGCTGATAAGAATGACAGAAAGGAGGTTCCTGTGGGTTAGCTGAAAGAGATGACGACATTGTCTGAAGAGTGAGGAAGTAGTAAGGGCAGCAGGTGGTGAAGTGGTGAGGTCCTGTGACATTGCAATGAGTAGACTAGGGAGGGAGAGGAGTTGTGAAGAAGGGCTTGCTGGCAGGATTAAGGGCCTGCTCTGAGCCTGGAGGGTCCTCTTTGTGTAGAAGCACCCTTCTCTCTGGGGATATGATTCCCTGCAGCAGTGCTGGGCAGCAGTAGAGTTAGCGATTGTCAGGGTGCTGGTGTGGCCCTCTGAGGCACGAGGGTGCCAATATGACTGTGTCGGTAAGTCGTCTTTGGAGCACAAGCTCTGGGAAGTGAAACCAAGTCCTTGTCTGGGCTAGAGAGGAGGGAAATAGCTGAATTGGCCATTGCATTCAGCTCTGAGCACAGCCCTTGGCTTACAGATGTGCTTCATAAATGTTGGCTGAATCAGAGTGGTGGAGACAACTGGTTTTGTAGGAATCAGAAATAGTGATGGGATCTTTGATTGGGTGGGATTTGTGCATTTGTTGTGGTTCTGGATTAATTCTTTATTATGTAGCAATGCTGAATACTTAATATTGGAGCCACCGGGAAGATGGCAGGAGACAAAGTGAGCCAAGGGCCAAGGCCTCTGCAAAGTTTTTGTCTGTTGTTGATGTTGATGGTATGAGAAATAGCCATCTTGAGTAGAATTTGTGAACTTCAGGATATAGGGGATTTTGCATGAGGGAAGAATGTCTAGAAAGAACCTAATGATCCTAAAAGAATCCTGTCTTGGCCCTGAGGGTCAGGTGTTGTAAGAACTGAATGATAGGGGAAGAGATGACTTCTGAGGAAAGTCAGGTTGCGGGAGAAGGTGGGGAAGACAATTGTGAAAAGCCTAAGAGTGTAGGAGGCAGTTTTAGAATAGTGGGGGTCCCAAGATGGAAGACAGAACAGAAGAGCTGCAGCAATGTTCTTGGCAGAGCACAGGAGTTTGTGTCAGAATCTCTGGGGTCAGTAGTAAGCTGTGCTTGTGGGGAAGTGGGGCAGTAGGGTAGCTACTCTGGAATGACTGCTGATGCCACTGGGGTCTGCATTTATCGGGCGGACCTATGCCAGCCTGAGAGCGTGTTGTATTAATTATCCTATTTGATCCTCATAATGTGTTGTAGTAGCCTCATTTTACAAAAACTGAAACTCCGAAAAGTAAGGGTCACAGAACCTCATGGTTCCAGTCCAGTTCTTGCTTTATTTCTTGTGCACTTGCCCTTCGTGTATTGTCCTGTTCAAAGATAGCATGGATATAGGGATATAGCCAATGCATTCCCTTAGTATTGTTGGAAAGCCTGCTCCTTCTTGGCCCAAATGCAGCCAGGGTGTAGCTGGCTCTCTAGCACCCCCTGGTGGCAGTGACAGTATTGTGGCGTGCTAAGGTAAGCGTGAACACTGACTAGCTCAAGGTACCAGTAAGTCCCGGATACGCAGCAGCAAGAACATTTTCTTTGTTGTGAACATGGCACTTACCAGATACAGCCTTTAACAATTGTTTGTATATGTATCTTAACTGCAAAGTAATAGTTTGATATTTGTATACCCCTACAGTGTTCAGGGACATTCAAGTATGAAAGTGTGAAAAGAGACCCACTCATAGGGGGAGTTAAATTCATTGGCATGAACGCTTCTTATCCATGCGTAGACAGATTTGCCCCAGCCAATCCCTTTCCTTATAAGCTAGGATGATACTCTCTTCCTATTTCTTTTCATCTTTATTATGTCCCGTTTCATTGGCTTTTTTCATTAGCATATAAACACATTGTAATACCTCTCATTAAAGAAAGAAAAACCTCAGAATCAGTACACACACACACACACCCCCGCCCCCCAACCTGGTTCCTTTTTTCCTGGTTAAGTTTCTTAAAGAATGGTTTCCTAAACCTGTTCCTACCACTCTTTTCCCAACCCATTGCTCCTTGGCTCTTGCCAGTTCTAGCTCTTCACCAAAACCACCCTTGTGACCACTGAATGGGAGAGGAGTACCATTCTTACCAAGACCCCAGCGGGGTGTACAAAGAGTAACGTGAAATGTAAGGCCTCATTAAAGGTCTTGAAGGTGGCAGCTGTTCCGAATTTCAGCTGTTGTTTTGCAGTTTGAGCTGTTCCTTCCATGACCATCAGTTTAGCAATAGGGCTGTATTTGTTGATGCTGGTTGGTTTTTGTTTTTGTTTTGTTTTTAAGATTTTATTTATTTATTTGCGAGAGAGGGCACAAACAGGGGTAACTGCAGGCAGAGGCAGAGGGAGAAGCAGGCTCCCCGCTGAGCAAGGAGCCCGATGGGGGGCTCGACCCCAGGACCCTGAGATCATGACCTGAGCCGAAGGCAGATGCTTAACCGAATGAGCCACCCAAGCGCCCCAGATGCTATTTGGTTATGTTAAGCCACCTTTGTAGGCCAGATATTGATAGTTGTTATTGGTGTTCCAATGATATCTTCATAATTACCTCTTTTCCTTTCTGGATTCTGAATTACTTGAGAAATAGATTCAGAGATTAGATGGGCTTCCAAACATAAACTTTCTTTATGGTGAAAGCTGGACTAGAGATATTCTTGAGATATGCTTTGTAATCTGCTTGTGGAGTGAGTGGATCTGCAGAGCAGACCTTCATCCACCAGCCACATGGAAGCCCTCAGAGCCTGGCATTTATCAATCAGAGAAGATATTGGTTACTAGTCAGTGGTCTGTAAATTACACATCTCAACAACTTGGCTCTTCATATCTGTCTCTTCAGGGCCTTTCTGTCCGTGGCTGTGTAGTCCTCAGCAAGATTTCTGAATCCTAGAACGAAGATTTTATAGGAGAGTTGTAGTACTGTTCTAGACATGAAATAGAGGGTGGCTTACTGGGTTGACTTTTTATCCAGTTGAAAATTCCTAGGACTGTTTATGACAAGTTGGATTTTGTTATAGCTAGGTTATTTGTACATTTGAAAGACTCATGCATTTACTAGTTCATGAGCTAATCATTGAAGTCAAACTGTTAGTGTCCTTTCTGTTACCACAGATTCAATTTGTTTGTTTCTACATTTTACAGGTTGAATATAAGCTGGGATTCCAAGTAGACAATTTTGTGGCTATGGACATGCCCCAGGTCAACATTTCTGCTCAGGGGGAAGTTCCACGCACTTTATCAGGTGAGTCTGAAAGAGTTAACATACTGTTTTCAGTTGTGTCCCCCATATCCCAAGAAGAACAGTTTAATAATTGATGCGTAGTATATCTTACTTGATAGGCTTAAGATGTATAAATACTTTGAAAAGTAATTTTTGAAAATCCTGATTATTTGCACTGTATTTTAAACCATCCCCTCTTTTCCATCCCTTCCAGAACTGTCTGTGCTCACTTCTTCCTTGTCTCCTTTTCTGCATTGCTGGCCTTGGCCTCCTCCTGTGTCTGGTCTTGTTCCTCTTGGACTAAATTCCCACACCGTGGCCTGGATCATCACTGAACACTCTTATCCGACCAAATGACATCAGTCCTATCAGGGCCCACTACCCCCATCAACTGAGTACATTGCAGACTCTCCCGCCATTATGCTGTTGTGTATCCTCTGCCCCTACCTGCCTGTCTGGCCCTGTTGCTGCATTTTGCCCCAGCATTCCAGTGGTACCGTACTACGTGCAGTTTTGACGTCCTTGCCTTTGCATGTGCCGGTCTGTGTATTTGGAACCCCCTTTTCCTCTTTTCTGTTTATTAAACTGTCATTCATACTAAATATTCAAGACTCAAAATCTCCACTGTCCTTTTTCTGCTTCCTTTTCTCCCCCCAGGTCTTAACTCTTTCTTCTGTTCTTCATACTCTGTAGGATCTTGTAATTTGACTGTTTTTGAACTGATCACATTATCTTGTAATTCTTTGTGCTTGTCTCTCCTTGCTGGCCTGTGGCTACCCTGAGGGCAGGAGCTGTCTTTTTCAGCCGTCTGCCCTTGGTGCCTAGCACTGCGTCTGCACAGGATAGTCATGTAATACATGTCTGACTAAATGATTTAAGTGTCATATATACCCAGTTTAACTACTGTTGAGCCAACCTTTTGAGAAGGGCTCCTGAAGATGTGAGATTTTAAGAAAAGCGAAGCGAACTTTTTAAAACTTAAAGTGTAAGCCGTGTACTTTCCACAATATAGCAGTATCATGGAACTCTTTCTGGCAGTCTCATCTGTTGTTATTAGTGACATACATTAAGCTTTAAGAAGGCATAGGAAGGCTTGCTCATTTTTATGGGGCAGTAAAGAAATTCAGAAATGCCCATATTTTTCATATGCTCATACAGATGATAGAATGATACTCTAAATTTGTAGAAAAAGAATCTTAAACTGAAAGATTGAAAAAAAAAAATGATTTGCACCAAAGTCTGTTATCTCGTTGCTGTAGTAATTGATTAAAGCCAGTTTCTTTTTAGAAAGGGTTTTTTTTTAATTCAGTTGATTAATTTATCAGGTTTATCAGTTTACAGGTTTATATTTAATCTCTTCATTAAGAGAAATACATAATTGCATTTTGGTGGTAAATTGTCTTTCCTTTTTATCAAGTAATTGCTGTTTTGTTGCTGATGTGACTGGTAAGGTAGCAGGGTTTACCTTATTCTGTAGCTTTACTATATTATAATAAGAGGACTTGTGAGACAAAGTGATCTATTAAAAATCATGAGCAAAAGTTGAAAATAGTGATCTCTTCCTTTATGTCTTGGCTTGTTCTTTAATGCTAACTTTTATATCTATAATGAATGAAGAAATACTTAATGTCTAAAGCTATGTAGTCTGAAGGTAAGTTCTGTGAAAATTTCTGTTTAGTATTATGTAAATGTATTATTTTTAGTTTTATGCAACAAAAATAAAGAATTCTAAAATAGTAGGTATTAATATTGATTTTTAGAAAAGTAAAATATCTTTTCTTTTTTGCTCTTTAAACAGTGTTTCGGGTCGAGCTTTCCTGTACTGGCAAAGTAGATTCTGAGGTTATGATACTAATGCAGCTCAACTTGACAGTAAATTCTTCAAAAAACTTTACAGTCTTAAACTTTAAACGAAGGAAAATGTGCTACAAAAGTAAGGAATTTATTTACCAGAGTGTGTGTTTTATATAGATGTGATAAGGTCATAAATATATTTTGTCATCTTTCTACAGATTTGTGACCAAATCTTGATGATAGTTGCAAGTGTGAAAAGAAAGAGCACTAACAGATGAAATTCTGAGATAATCGCCAGGTAGCTTGTTGCCAGGAATCTCCCTCGGGCCCTTCGTTCTCAAAATCTTTTCTCAGAATTGCTAACTTTCCACTAGGGATGTGAAATAGTACTCAAGTGGCTGGTCACCTCATTGTGATAGGGGCCCCTGAGTAACTGAGTGTTCACTGAGTTTTCCTTATAGAAGTGCTGATGCTCAGAAGCATTGCCTGGGGCCAGATGGACTGGGCCTGAGATGGGGACAAGTCACTTACCCTAAGTCTTAGTTTTTTCATTTGTAAACTGGGCATAATAACCTGTTTCAGAAGTTGTTCTTTTTTATTTTCTCTTAGATTAATTGAATCAAACCTAAATCTTAGAATACCATGTATGGGTACTTAATAGATGTTAGTAACTTTGGTTTTGAATAATCGGTTACTTAAGAAATTACAGTGGCTATGAGAATTCCTAGCACGTAGGCTGTAGATGAAAGAATTTTAGAGTTTCTCCTTAAAGGTCATCTAGTCCAACCTGCTCACTTTAAGTTGCACTAAGGTAAAGTGACCTAAATTTGCATGGCCACTTAGGTTACTATCTAAGATAGGGAAAATAAAACCCTCTAAACTTATTGAGTGCCTACTGTTGACAGCTGCTTTACTTCCATTGAACCCAGTTCTCTCTAGGCAGTGGGTCTCTCATTACCTCCATTTTCTCAGGAGGAAGCTGAGGCTCAGGGCATCTGACCAACTTGCCAAGGTCAGACAGCAGCTAAGTGGTACAGCTGGATGCAAACTCGTGCTCTTAGCGCCATTGTTAAACTCTCTCTCTCTCTCAAACATTTCCTACTTGAAATTAGTGCTGAGTGTTATGAAAGATCCTAATGCCAGCAAGTGAGTTACAATGGCTGATGTCAAGATACATGCCAGTAAAAAAGCTCTACTGCATTGGAATGGACATTTTTTAAATGGAAAGTTAGCAAGCACCTTTTAGCTTCAGTGTTTTGATACATTTTTCAGTTCTAATATTCTCAGTTATGTACCTACTTTCATGTAATTTTCAAGCCAAAGTGGACTTTAGAGTCTCTCTAGTTCAGTCTAGTCATTATATAATTGATATGAGGAGACTGGGCCCTAGAGAGACCGCCTAAGCTAGCACAGTCAGTCAGTGAGGAGTATAGAAGGCCTGGTTCCTGATCCCTAGGGAAGGGGATGTGACTGTACCATGGTGCTTCGCCTAATGTCTAAAGGCAGCATGATGGCCAAATGTGATGTGATCGATGGAGTCCACCACTTAGTAACCACTGAGGTTAAGGATCAGCCGACATTCAGAATGATCCCATACTTTGTCCATTTTCTTTAATATGTATGCGAAAATTAAATTAAAATACAGTTGGTGTAATTTTCTACTCTGTTTTAGACTTAAGTTTAATATAGTGCTCCCCTTTTCATTTGGTCGTTATACTTCTGGCCACCCCAGTTGTCCAGTTCATGGCTCTTTAATATGTGATCCTAATGTGTTTGTCTGGTTTTCTACCCTATTACATTTAAAAAATTGCAACAGAAAATATATCTGTACTATATCGAATGTTAATGGGTGTTACTGGTAAGAAAATGTTCCTTTTTTATGTGAGAGTGGGGACTGCTTGATCAGGTAAATTTCATTACTTAAGAACTCCTTAGAGCCTTTATACTCTGCTAATGTGAATTATGCACCTCCACAGAGGTTAAAATATGTGTTTCCCCCCAAACTTCTTGACCACAGAAACCCTTTTCATTGAGCATCTGTAAGCAATACCCATAGATTAGGAATTGGTGATTATAGTGATAATTATCAGAATCGTAATGTAGCATTTATTGTCTTGCAACAAATACTTTGTTAGTTCAGGCAGTGTTCTAAAAGAACACAAAACTATGTTAGAGAAAAACTCAGAAAATGTAATTAGAGTATTTAAGGATTTTCATGGAAAAGGAAGAATTTCTAAAGCATTTTTTATCTTTTTTTAAATTCAGAACTTGAAGAAGTAAAAACTTCAGCCTTGGACAAAAACACTAGCAGAACTATTTGTAAGTGTTACTGAGTTACCGTTCTCCATCACGAAGGAAGAAAAATGGCTGATTGCAAATGCACGTGATTGTATAAGGCTTAGAGGCCTTGTAGTGCCCAGTTTGTCAAAAGATATGTGATGAGGCCTTGCTATTTACTTCACTGATGTTTTGTAGATTGGTATATAGTCAGGGGAAATGATTAGAATATTGACATTTTTGTGAAGCAAAATTCATACATATTTTATAGCAAATGATCTATAAGCAAGAATTTATATCACATCATTTCGAATGGTTATAATTAAAGTATGAACATAAAAACATGTATAAGATCCTCATCTCAATAGCAGAAGGTTAGAAAATCTGACTAGTGACCTGGATGGGTTAACCCTCAGCTGATTTCATCCAGGTGAAAATGCAAGCTTAAAGGATACTTAAAGATACGTATTTAAACCTACAGAACAGAAACTCCAAGTAGATCTTTATTTTTTGGTAATGGTTGTGTCTAGATGATATAACTTAGACTTCTTTTTTCCTTTTCTGATGTGGACACATATTGAGTCTTATACTTCCTGAGATAGTTTTAATAGCATTATCTTAAAAGGATAAAAAATTTGTGGTGAGGAGGAATTTCAAATATGCAAAAGTTGAGAGAATGCTCTGATGAACCTGCACGTGACCATTACCCTACTTCAGTAATGATCAACGTTTTGCCAGTGTTGTTCCATTGATTTCCTCCTCCTTTTCTGGATGGGTAAATGGTTGGGGAGGAGTAGAATATTTTAAAGCACAGTTCAGGCATCATATCATTTCATCCATAAATATTCCAGTATGGATTTCTTTAAAAAAGGGCAATTAAGGGGCACCTGGGTGGCTCAGTTGGTTAAGCGTCTGCCTTCGGCACAGGTCATGATCGCAGCCCGCATTGGGCTCCCTGCTCAGCGGGGAGCCTGCTTCTCCCTCTGCCCCTCCCCCTGCTTGTGCTCCCTCTCTCTCAACTAAACAAATAAAATCTTTTTTTTAAAGGTAATTAAAAAAATAACCCACAATCACCCAACACCTATTCACTTGTATTTGATTTATCACATTTAACAAAATTAACAATAATTCCTTAATAAATTCTAATAGCAGACAATTACCTTATTGTCTCAAAAATATCTTTTTATAGTTTTGCCTCCACATCAGGATCCAAATGAAGTCCACACACTCTATTTTGTTGACAGATATTTTATATTACTCAGAAATCACTCACTCCCCCCTTATATCACTTTTTTGTTGATGAAATTGAGTAATTTATCTCATCGAATTTCTCCTGTCTTCATCTTTGTGGTGTTAACATACTTTTTTTTCCTCCTGTAAACTGGTAATTAGATTTTGTACTTGATTAGATTTAGGACCAACCCTTGGCAAGAGTAGTTCATAGATGGTAGTATGTGCTTCCTATTTCATCTTTTTCTCACCTCAGGAGGCAAAGAGTATCTAGCTATCCCAAAGTAGATTTTTTTTTTTAGAGATTTTATTTTATTTATTTTAGAGAGAGAGCAAGCAGGGTGGGGAGGGCAGAGGGAAAGAGAGTCTTAAGCAGACTCTGCACTCAGTGCAGAGCCCGATGCCAGGCTCGATCTCATGACCCTGAGATCATGACCTGAGCCGAAACCAAGAGTCAGACACTTTACCAACTGAGCCACGGACAGGTGCCCCCCCAAAGTAGACCTTTTTTGAAGGTAAAGTAATATACATTGTCTGCTTTTTTAGATTATTTCATTTGGATTTATCTCTAAGAAGAAAAAAAAAGTATCTTAAAAAATACCACTGCTCCCCAAATTTACTTTGAAAATTCTAGTGACTTTACCCATTTCTTTTATGCTAGTAGGATGTTATTTCACACAGAGAAACTAGAATATTGCGTATTCTTGGTCTCTGGCTGTCTTTTCTTCAGTACCTCTCTTCTTCCCTCCCTTTCTATCCATGCATTCAGCATCTGTTGAAAGTCTGCGATATGCCAGGTGGTATGATTAAAGCAGGGGATTAAACTGAGCAAAACAGACCCTGCCCTTAAGGGTTTATAATGTAGTGGATGAGATGGACAAGGCACTAATGCAATGATAATAACATAGTGTGGCAAGCTATGATAAGGCAAGTGCAAGGTGCTTTGGGAACCCTACAGAGGGGCATATAATCTCTGAAGGAGTGAGGGACAGTTTCCTGAGGAAAAGTGGCATCTCGTGTGAGACTTGAAGGCTGACCAGATGGTGGCAGGTGAAATGTCAAAGTGAAGGAATGGGAATAGTGCATACACAAGCCTGGAATTTGGAGGTAAACAAGCAGGATACATTTGGGGGGATCTCCCCAGCAGAGTAGTATCCTCTTCTCTGTCCTGGTGTGTGCTTGGATAGGTACTGCTAGCACCAGCCTTTAGGACCTCCCTTTTCTGCCCCTTCCAAGATTGAACAGCTTGTGGCATCCTTGAGGAAAGTCAGGCCTTCATTCAGGCTGTGTAAAGTCTAGCTGCCCTAGAAGCTATTTGGTCTTTTTGCTTTAATCTGTTCTGATTTATTGTTTTCTTGATTCAGTTTAAATTTTAGAAAGCAGTCTTAGAAGTTTTTGAAAGCTATAGCTTTTATCTTTTGCCCTTACCTATCCCCAGAACTCCACATTTGTATTTCTGTCAATTTGACATCTCCACGTAGATGTGTACTGGGTACTCTTAGATACAACAAAACTCTTGATTCTCTCTCTTCCGCCAACCTGCCTTTTCCTCCCAATCTTTGTAAAGGTACCATTATCCACCTAATTCTTTAAGCCTAACTTTTGATTCTTCTTTTTCTTTTTATCCCAGTATCATTCATTAGCAAGGTCTGTTGACTGTGCTTCCTCTCCATTAATTTATCTTCAGTAACATTCTTGCCCACACCATTGCTGTCTCTTTTTTGGACTACTGTAGTAACTTTCTAACTTGTTCCCTGCCCCTGTCTTGCACATTCCTCAAAGCATTCTTTACACGACGTGCAGTCAGCTTGGTTTTTTTCCAGGTTTCATCATGTGTATCGTTCCTTTGCTTAATAACGATTTCCTGTCTTATGAAGGATAAAACCCAGATTCCTCAGGTTTTATTCAGTAGAATTATGATGTGAGTACTCATCATCAAAACTTACTTGATGCCTTAGTTACACCAGTTCTGCTTCTATTTGTCTTCCCTGTGCTTGCTCAGATCACATGTATCTCTGTCTCTGTGCATCTCTTCCTTAGTTTGTGTGTGTGTTCGTGTGTGTGTGTGTGTGTGTGTGTGTGTCTGTCTTTGAGTTATTTCCCCCATTGCCAAGGTTTGCTTTCTCTTTCCCTCTCTGTTTTGAATAATAGAAAGTTGAACACAATTTCATGAGTGGGGTCTTGTTACCCTGCCCTTATCTTTAAAAATAAATAAGCAAAATAATCTGTTACTCTCATAAGAGAAAAAGACTAAAAGTTTATTGTTTTTTTTAAATGTGAGGGTCACTCTTGTCTGATCTTTCCACTCTAGACGTCACTATTGAAGAAATATGAAGGATATATAGATCTGTGCTGTCCATTATGATAACTACTAGTCACATGTGACTATTTAAAGTAATTAAAGTGAAATAAAATGAAAACTGCAGTTCCTCAGTAGTACTGGCCACATTTCAAGGGCTTCATCGCCACAGGTGACCAGTGGCTCCTGTATTGGACAGCACACTAGAACGTTTCCATCACTGCAGAGAGTTCTCTTGGATAGCACTGCCATACATAAAAAATGTAAAACTTGTGACTTTTGTACTCATTAATGAAAAATTTTCTTCAAACCCTTTTTTAAAAATTCCTTCAACAACATTAAAAAAATTTTAAAAATTGTGAGAACTTGTATCAACACACCACTGGTAACTGATCTTATCAAAGAGTGGGCACATGAAATGAAAATATTTTTTTACAAAGAACAGGATACTCATTGTTTATATTGGGTCATAGAGCAGTTGATAATATTTGTTTAAAAAGCTTAATGTGCTTTTCATTTTTATTTCAGATGATCCTGTACATGCAGCTCCAACCACTTCTACACGTGTGTTTTATATCAGCGTGGGGGTTTGCTGTGCAGTAATATTTCTTGTAGCAATAATATTAGCTGTTTTGCACCTTCATAGTATGAAAAGAATTGAACTGGATGACAGGTATTATACCTATTTTGGGAAAGGAAAAAAATTAAAGTGGTTATTTGCATTTACATGGGAGCCCACACACACCCATGCATTGCGGTGCACAGGGGAGGGAGGGAGGATGATCAGGTCTTGCCAAAAGAAAAATTACTGTCTTTTGTGATTACTGTCATTGTGTTTTCCTGAGTCTTTTTAAAACATTTTTTTGAAGACAGAAATTATAGTTTATTAGTTGGTGGGTAAGAAGTGAGGATCACATTTTTGTTCCCATCCCCTTTAACGTGACTCTATTCTAGACTCCTAGTACCTTTTTAAAATAGCCCTGTTTCTTCCTCCCAGTTCATCCCTCCATCATTATCCATCCATGCATCCATCCTTGCATCCAGTAAACATTTATTGAGAACCTGCTGTGATTAAACCATTGGTTCTCAACCTGGTTGCACATTATAGTCATGAGTAAGCTTTTAAAACATGGGTCCCACCTTCCAGAGATTCTGATGTAATTGGTCTGGGGTGGTGTTTGGGCCATCACTATTTTTCTTAAAGCTTCCTGGATAGTTCCAATGTGTAGCCTTGGAGATATGCTAGGTGCTGGGAATATAAAAAATTGATGATATACCTTATAGCTTCAAATATTCATCTTTGACATTAACCTATAATTATAAAAGTTTATAAATTTGATGATTATGATTTGTGTAGTATAGTGTGAGAATAGAAAAGGTGCTTGTCCCAGCCTAGGTGGGTCAGAGATGACAGGGAGGACTTTATAGCCAGGATAGGGTGAGAGGTAAAGATGGAGTGACAGGTTTATTTTCCCAGTACATAACTATCATTTTCCTCCTCAGTGATTCCCACTTGGTGACTGAAAGATTTCCAGCTTCTTGACTTGGCTTTCAAAGCCCTCCTTTAGTGGAGAGATATCTCCCATACTCGTTGAACCTTTCTTTCTTACTGTACTCCTACTTATGCTGCAGTCACATGATTTTATGTTCCACACTTTGGCCCTGTATATTTAGGGCCTTTACCTATACTTTAGGACTTTAGTTCATGTGTTCCTTTTGCCCACAGGGGTCCCTGCATTTTCCAAGGAAAACAGTCCAAACCTGTTCCTTCTTCAGCTTTCAACTCCCCATTGCCATTTCTTACATGAAGTCTTTTCTAAGTCTCCCAACTGCCCTCTGTTTCTTTCTCTCTCCTACCCTCGGCCTCCCCTTCTCCCTCTTTCCCTCTCTCTCTTTGGTAGCAGTTATTGTACTTTTTTCTCCTGTAATAATTTTTTGTCTCTCCCACTAGACTGTAAGCTTTGTCCAATTAGGGAGCAGTATGTCTTACTCATTACTGAATCCCCAGGCCTACACAGTGTCATACACACAGTGGATAGGCATATTTGTGGCATAAACAAAAACACAAGGGTACAGGGAACTGGTTGGACTCAGTACCTGTCCTAAGTACTCTCTGTCCCTCTGTTTTACTTTATCTGAGTAGAGAAGGAAGAGGAAGTTGGTAAGAATGAGAAGAGAAATACATGGGTGGGACATGTTTCAGAATAGGTTTTGTGTATATGGTGGTGGTGAAGTTAGAATTGGGGTTTACAGAGGAAGAAATGGCATTTGGAAGCTTCTGAGTGGGAAGTAAGGTAACAGGAACATTTAGGTAAAGGAGTCACTGAGGAGCATGACATTTAGGAGTCTTGATACATTTTCCTTGAATGCTTACATGTGTGCTAGGGCTTTGAACACACATTGGACAGAGTTGTGCAAAAACTGTCAAGATACTATGGGGCATGTACCTCAGCCTGCTAAAATAATCAGTTACTGCTCATGCATTGGGTGTTTCGGTTCTTTCCATTTTCAGGCATAGGTTTCCAGACATTGAATAAAAGCAACTTACATTATTGCTTGTTTTCAGAGTATAACCTAGTGGTTAAGACCATGGACTCTGGAGCCAAAGCATCTCTGAATTCTGACTGTTCTACTTACTAGCTTTATGGCTAGTAATGTACTTAACATCTTTGTAGGCTTTTCAAGAATTCTGAGGTGGTACGAGAGTGCCACCTACTGTTCAGTTACTGGAGAGAAACAACCAGTAAATAATTTTGAGTCTGGCCATTTAACCATCAGGGTATGTTGGTTGCAGGTATTATTTAAGTAGTGGTTTTACATATATTATATAACTGGAGCCTCTCAAAAATCCTGGGAGATAGGTTTTCTTAATCCCATTTAATGGGTAAGTAAATTGAGGTCCTTTATTTTCCCCTCTTTGGGGATGGTAATGTTTCTCTTCCCTCCTCTAGACTTCTAACAACATTGATTTTTAGTCTGATCTTTGAGTAGTACTTAGAACTCCAAAAACCGGTGCTCTGTGGTTACCCACTGAAAAGACAGAAATACATGCTTAAGAGGTATTAATTTGTAGTAATCTTGAGTACAGGGTTAGCAGTTGCTTGAGCCTACCATCTTCTGGATCTCCCATATTACTTAAAGAATGTGATATAATGGAATGCTTTAAGTACTAGAGAATTCCGAAAAGTTCCATAAATTCTAAAAAGGTGGGATTGAGGAAGAAGGAAAATGTATGTGATTCAGTAAACTTGAACCAGATACAGTACCCTTTCCCAAGCCTTGAGCATGTTGGTATATTTGATTTACTTTGATATTCCTTATTTGATATAGGCCATTTGATTTGAGACCATTAGTGGAAGAGGCCTGTCATTCTACTCCTTTTTTTAAAAAGCAATCTAATTGAATGGCATGGGCTCTCTTCCTAAGAGAAGACCCGTAGGTCCCTAACATGGTCTTTGTGCGAGGTTCAGGCCTACTATCTATGGTGTCTGAGGACTAATACCTGCATTTCTGAATGACTGACAAGATGAACCTGCTTGAGACGGTGGAGGTAGACCAGAAAAATAGCTCTTCATTATGAAATGAAAATTTCAACATGGAATGTTTGATGGACATCCATGCATTATTGTGATGGTCATCAGGATTTTAAGCTGGTTACAATGGCTGCATGCATTTTTATATGTACAGAAAAAGGAAATTTCTCACTGAAGCTGACTTACCAGTTATTTCTCTCAAAAATTGTTTGCAGCATCAGTGCCAGCAGTAGCTCCCAAGGGCTGTCTCAGCCATCTACCCAGACGACTCAATATCTGAGAGCCGACACACCCAACAATGCAACTCCTATCACCAGTAAGAGTTAATTTAATTCCAAAGATGATTTACTGACGTTGTCTGTGGTCTGTCTGCCAGTGGCACCTGTGTGCTTAGTTATTTGTGCAGCATGTGTACCATCCCATGTACATAGTATCTTAACGTGCATAGAATTAGGCTTGATCCCCAACTTCTGCTTTCTAGAGCATTGAGTGAAACATTCTAAACTTAGAGTAGTAAAAATAATTTTTAAAAATTTAAGTTTAATTGCTAGAATTAATTTTGGGGGAGATTTCCATAGATTAATTCCATCAAAAGGGATACTGAATCGCTTCTATAGAAATTCAGGAGGAATATTTTCAGGTAATAAGATAGACTAAGCCATTGAGCTGTATGAAAACAAGAGTCTTAGATTTTAATGAATTGTTTGATAATCTTAAGGGCTGTGGACTTTACATTGTGTGTTTTTTTTTAAGATTTTATTTATTTGAAAGAGACAGAGAGCCCTCGGCAGGGGAGGAAGGGGCAGAGGGGGCAGGAGAGGGACCAACAGACTCTGCCTCTGCGCTGAGGGTGGAGCCAATCCCAGGACCCTGAGATCATGATCTGAGCTGAAACCAAAAGTCCAACACTTAACGAGCTGAGCCAGCCAGGCATATTGTTTTTTAATCACGATAGGAAGCTAGCTGCCATTAGAATTGAGAACATGGAATCTGATTTCCTTTCTCTTTAAACAGGATTTTGATGAAAGTTTTTATACTGTAACATATTGATGTTGGGGAAAATAATCATTCTTAGAATATAATTTAGACATAATGAGGAATCAGTCTCCACACAAATAAAAAACAACATAATCATCAAGATAAACAGTAGACCAGAATCAGGGCTAAATTCAGTAGTGCTATTGATTAATTAGGTTCTTACAGGCCTGTTGTGGTCTTTCTTTCTTTTTTTTTTAAAGATTTATGTATTTATTTATTTGACAGAGAGAGCGAGTGTGAGAGCAAGCACAAGCAGGGGGAGTGGCAGGCAGGCAGAGGGATAGGGAGAAGCAGGCTCCCTGCTGAGCAAGGAACCCGATGTGGGGCTCGATCCCAGGACCCTGGGATCATGACCTGAGCCAAAGGCAGCCGCTTAACCGACTGAGCCATCCAGGCACCCCTGTTGTGGTCTTTCAATACTGTTTGCTGTTAAAAAGAACTAGGATTCGGGGCGCCTGGGTGGCTCAGTCGTTAAGCATCTGCCTTCAGCTCAGGTCATGATCCCAGCGTCCTGGGATCGAGCCCCGCATCAGGCTCTCTGCTCGGTGGGAAGCCTGCTTCTCCCTCTCCCACTCCCCCTGCTTGTGTTCCCTCTTTTGCTGTGTTTCTCTCTGTCAAATAAATAAAATCTTTAAAAAAAAAAAAAAAGAACTAGGATTCTTTAGGGAAGTGGATGATTTCAGGACTAAATCAGAAATGAACAAGATAAACCTGGGACATGTTGAGATGGGACATTTGAGCATCAAAAAGAGTGACTGCAGTGACTTGAAACTGAATATGTAAAAATCCATGAGTTTGTAATAGTTTTTGAAAAAGTTGATCATGATCATGTGAGGTAACTAATAATGCCTCATTCTGATGACTGGCTATATGAACTGTGTTTCATATTTCAGTGGTTTCAGAGTAACCAGGTAGTGCTGGTTGGTGAGGGGAAATGCTTTACAGAAGAATCCTACTTAATAAATGTGGAAGGAGTGATAGAAAATCATATTTGCAACCTCTGTTAAAATATTTGATTCAGGAAAAGATCATCAATGTTTAAAACCTTGTGAACAAAGGGAAATGGGATCATTTGAGGGATCAGACTGTCACAGTCTCACTCCACTAGTGAAACTTTGCATCGCTGACAGTCGGATAGCTAGATATTTTGTACTCCCACATGTGATATACTATCCATAGAGTATTTTTATCTCCCTTCCCCACTCCAAGAGTTAACCTGCACCTAATCACAGCTGTGGAACTGACTGGCAGTTTACAAGAAATACAGGGATAGAGGAACAAGTTAAATGATACTGGAAGAAGCAGATGCTGGATATTCTCTAGGATAACTGAGCTGGTTTCTTTAATAAGAGTGGCAAGAAAAAGAAGAGGGGAAAGAGGGAATGCTCAAGATTAAGTAAAATTTATAAGAAATCATGACAATAGTTACCATCACTGCCAATGAAAGAATTATATGCCCTTTAGAAGATATGATGACAATTATGAAAGTAGGTTCAAACTATCAGAAGAAACAAGTCATTGCTTTTAATGTTTAGATGTCAAGCTTTGCTCATTAGTCAATTCTTGATTGTGACTATGACCTTGAAGAAGTAGAGATTCAATTATTATTATTATTATTATTTTTAAAGATTTTATTTATTTGAAAGAGAGCGACACAGCAAGAGAGGGAACACAAGCAGAGGGGTAGTGAGAGAGGGAGAAGCAGGCTTCCCGCCGAGCAGGGAGCCCGAGGTGGGGCTCGATCCCAGGACCCTGGGACCATGACCTGAGCCGGAGGCAGACGCTTAACAACTGAGCCACTCAGGCGCCCCGAGATTCAATTATTATGTACTAAAAGGAAAATACTTTTTAAAAGTCCATCAAAATTATTTATTAAAAATATTTTTAGATACTATCTATAAGAAGTATTATTTTTATGGACATTATCTTAAGGAGATAGATGGTTCATTTATTATGTATGGCAAAAACAAACACTTTTTAAAAATACAATGGAAATTCATTTGTGTATAAATAAAAAGAGACAAAAGAGAGGAGTAAAAAAATATTTGAAGACAGAATGGCCAAGAATTTTCCAAAATAACAAAACACAACAGACCACAGATCCGAGAAATTCCCAACAGCTCCAGGTAGGATTAAACATATACAAATACAGACACATACCTGCATATATCCTATTCATACTGCTGATCAATGGAATCAGGTGTTGTCAGCTTAATCCGTTGGTCACAAAGCTCCCAAGCATATCATCTAGATACTGTAGCAGCCATTGGTGACGGTCATCTAGGTCTGCTAACTCTTCAGGGAGTTTTCTTCCCATATGTTTACCGAAGTGCATAAATCTTAGAGACACCATTCCAATTTTTACTTGCTGATGCTGAATCCTTCTTTGATTCTAACATTTTTTTCTTGGAATGAAAAGTTTAAGTTATGGCTAGGTAATTTTGTTTTTGCTGCCAATGTAGTAAGAATGGGAAATATGGGAGCTGAGAAACAGATGTATCTCACAGTGATTTGACCAGGCTATATAAAACGAGATTGATTAAATTGATCAGATGTTTTGTTAGAAAAGATAGTTTTACAAACATCTATTCATTTGAAAAGTTTTTTTGTTAGGAGACTATATTAGAAAATCTTTGGGAAAAAGTCCATAAAAGGGATTAAATTAAACACTATGAGTCAAAGCTTATTTCATTTGGCTGAAAGGCAGTTGAAGTGGTGGTAATGGTAATATTCATTTTAGTGTTTATTGTTTTAATTACTCATTTTAAGATTTTGGGGTAGGTGAAAAGTTTTTCTTTAAAATTTAGTGTGGTCTTTATAGGTAATTTTCCCTGTTCATGTCTGTGCCTTTTTCCTTTTATGATTTTTACATTTATTTATTCCTGTGAGTTGAGTCCTGAGGTTTTGACTGAATTAATTGACCCTGATGGCATAATAAGGGTATTTATATTTCTTGGTCTGGCTTTGTTGGCTCCTCAGGTTATCCTACCCTGCGGATAGAGAAGAATGACCTGAGAAGTGTCACTCTTTTGGAGGCCAAAGCTAAGGTGAAGGATATAGCAATATCCAGGGAGAGGATAACTTTAAAAGATGTACTCCAAGAAGGTATTTATTATCTCAAAACCAGTTTCTCAAGGAGGATTTAATGTTAGCACTTTAAATTTTTTTATTTCAAATTTTAAGAATTTCATCTCTTTGTGTTTAAGGGTAGAAGTGCATAATTTATTTCCTTTATAAAACTGATTTTCATTTTTTATTTCTTTAGATCTTTAATTTGCCTTAATACAGCTTTGGCATAATTCTTAATTTTCAAGTATATTAAAGCATATATTATATATTAGCATTTTTTACCTTTAAATACATTTTCATTCTTGTTTAAAGATGATATCGCCACCTAGCAAGTCTATTTGCTGTGACAGATAGTATGGGGACTCTAGCAGACAGAGCAAGCATGGGCTTTGGAGTTACACCCAACTTCCAATCCCAGTCTCACAATTTATCACCTGTGTGACCTTGGAGAAATCATTTAATGTCTTCCACGTCCAATTTCCTCTCCTATAAATTGAGACTATATTGTCTGTTGTTGAACTAGGTGTGAAGATCAAATGAAATGATGCATTAAGTGAACTAACACACAATAGATATTTTATAGATGTTATTACCCTTCCCTTCCCCACTTGTTGGTCCTTCTTTTCTTTCTTGAGTTTTAGGGTATTAATTGGGGAGATGGCTGACAGAAGAGTATAGAAATTAATAATAAAGTACTTCATTGAGCCACTCAAGTTGTTAAAGAGAATTACCTTTCTCTTTCCACAATCCAGTTTGGAATGTTTTAAATATATATGAGTCATTCTGAATTCATCTCTTGGTTGAGATGGTTATAGGTCAATCACAGCTAAGAGAGAGGCTTGAACTGCCCCCAGTGACAAATAGTAATTAAAAGAAGCAAATTTTTGGGGTCTATTTTTGAATGTATGATGGGGGTCCATTTTTCTCCTTTGTTATTCTGAAACTAAGCCTAGAAGCTAACTCATAAATGCCTCCTCTACTGATACCCAATTACTGAGTTCCGGTATTCCTAGCTATAACATTAGTTTATTTTGGATAATTCAGAAAGAATTCTCATATACTTAGTTTAAATATGACATTTCTAAAAGCACGTTAAAATATTTCTTAGTTACAAAGAATTTCTCTTTTTTGCTTTTAAAAATTTATTTATTTATTTTTTTAAAGACTTTTTTTTTTTTTAAAGATTTTATTTATTTGACAGTGAGAGATACAGCAAGAGAGGGAACACAAGCAGGGGGAGTGGGAGAGGGAGAAGCAGGCTTCCTGCCGAGCAGGGAGCCTGATGCGGGGCTCGATCCCAGGACCCCAGGATCATGACCTGAGCCGAAGGCAGACGCTTAACGACTGAGCCACCCAGGTGCCCCTAAAGACTTATTATTAGAGGGAGAGAGAAGGAGAAAGCTTGAGCAGGGGGAAGGGGCAGAGGGAGAGAAACGAGCAGACTCCCAATGCAGGGGATGATTAATGATCTCATTAATTATTATTTTTCCTTTAGGTACTTTTGGGCGTATTTTCCATGGGATTTTAGTAGATGAAAAAGATCCAAATAAAGAAAAACAAGCATTTGTAAAAACAGTTAAAGGTAGGATTTTTTTCCATACTATTTCCAGAATGCTTTCCTAAGGTGGATCATGCCAGTGAAATTTCATCTCAAATTCTCAGTCTGTGCCTGACTTTAAGTCAGTCCATGGTAATTTAGCTGACATGAGACTAACTTTTGAGGAAATTTGGGTTGTTCTCATAAGGTATAGAAAATAGAGTTCTAATAATTTAAGATGTTAAAACACTAGTTATTACCCACGTTTGTAGTTAAACTACATCCATTTGACTTCGTTGTTGCTGTATCTAATACTGTGTTTTCCTAGGTAAAAATTTTGTTTTTTCCCTCTTAAAAACATTATCAGTTTTTCTTTCTTTCCTCCTTCCCACTCCCAATACTGCAGTCTATAAAGAATAAAAAAATGAACCCCAGACTAAAAGTACCTTATGTGAATAGCCTTGTTCACTTTCCTCCCACTCCCCCTGCCTTTTTTCTGCTGTTATATATAATGCTGCAGAAAATATCCATGTGTGTATGTCTACTTTTTGGCTTACTTTTATAGGTATAGCTGTAGTTGGCATTGCTGTCCCAAGAGGTGTTTACATTTAAAATTTTGATAGATACTCTCTGATTGTTTGCTAAAGGGTGCACTACTTTATGTTATCATGAACAGAATACCTATATTCACATAATCTCCTTTTGGAGAAATTGATGCTTAATTTTTCACCTTATAATTGATATTTATAAAAGTTTAAATCTTAGTTATATCTGTTTGCTCATTTTAAGAGAAAGAAAAATATAATTTATAGGGTGCCTCATGTCTGACAGTGTCTGATACAGACAGATGACAGGATGTTAATTTTGAAAAAAACAAATTTAGCATTTTGATGTAGAAATAGAGGGAAAAATTAAATTCAGTTTTATATGTAGGAGGTGACAGTTTTATGAAATTTTCGAAGTTAGTTTATAAGATCGTATGTTTTTAAATCTTAAATGAATTCATGTAAAGTATGAAGGGTTTATGTTTATTGTTTCTAAAAAGCTGTACTAACCTAACAAAAAAATGTGAAATTTGATTTTTTTTAATTTAGCAAAATTGCTTGCTTAAGGATCCTGCAAAAACATACACACACAGACACTAAACCACTAAACCACCACACAAACCACTAAACAAGTGGTTTAACTTACTATACTGTTCAGTATGTATTTTATCTACCTACTTCTAGCCCCAAAGCACTTTTAAAAGGTAATATTTAAGTTAGGTCCATTAGATTTCCTGACTAGTTTTGAAGAATATTTTACATATTACTCTTTGTAAATGTAAAATTTGAACCCTAAGTTTAATAACTGTTGACTTTTGTCACATTTCCCCCATTTTTAAGGAAACATTTCTCTAATTTTAATATTTCTTCTGGGGTTTATACGTAATCTGTGGGCAGTTTACAACTGGGCTGTTACTAATTTGTTCTGAATGAATCTTGAATTAGCAGAAGAGCCTTCTAATCAGAATTGGATTGATTTAGGGTTGGAAGCGGGGGGGAAGGAAATAATAGTGATAAGAAAACACAATGTGGATACTGGGACTGTTTCACAAGATAAGATTTCTCCTTCCGGATACACTTGAAATTGTAGTCACTTGGTTGTTTCTATGCCTTACCACTGTAATTATAATGTTCCTTCTGAGCTAGCGGGAAATAAGAGAAAGCACAGTGAGTCCTTAGCCAAGATGTGGTCCTGGTTTGCATGAGAAACAAAGAGGAAGTGCATTGACCACAGCCCTTGCCTCAAAATTATTAGATAACTCCACATGATTGGGTATTTCTGAGATTTACTCTTTTGGAATGTTATTATTTTTTTAATTGAAGCTATGTAGAGCTGACCAAGTTCTTTCACAAATCCGTATGCTTTGTTACATGCCACACAATTAGAAGTGCAGCTTAAAATGCAAGAAGAAAGTTTTCAAAAGATTATTGCCCTTTGCAAAGCTTTAGGCATAAGCAAGAAATTGCAGTTTGGCTTCTTAAAATATTCATAAATTTGCACAGAGACTTAATGGACATTCTAATATAAATTTACAGAGATTAAAATTAGGAATCTGAATTTCACAGTGAATATTGTGAAATTGAATTCGATAGAATTAATTTGCGGTTATTGGTGTTAGGATCTTGTTTTGTTTCATAGCTGCTCATATTTTGCAATTTTGAAATAAGTTTTTTATCATTTTGTTTTTTCTTGTAATATTTTGGAATGTAAGTATTTGAGTATTTTTTTTTCAAATGTATACATCTTAAAATAGACATTTCAGTATTTAAAATTAAAAGACTTGGACTAGACTGGGAAAGGAATCCAGGAAATTGATTTTTTCTTACTAAATGGATAAAATTATTTTTTCCCAAACTCAGAGTGTTCTTAGATCATCATCCAGTTCAGGTGTCCCTTGCTTAATAGAGTATGCTTATTAAAGTTAAGAATTTGAAAAAAATTATGCATAAAATGACATGCCCTGAAAAATTAACTTTTACTTGGTTCTTAATACCCTTGACAGGAAAGTAAACAATTACTAACTGGGTGCAGACCTCCAGCTATTACTATTGCAATCTGAAAAAGACCCTACTGGTCCCCAAATCATCCTGGCCATAATTTATTTTTTTATTTTTAAGATTTTATTTATTTATTTGATAGAGACACAGTGAGAGAGGGAACACAAGCAGGGGGAGTGGGAGAGGGAGAAGCAGGCTTCCTGCCGAGCAGGGAGTCCAATGTGGGGTTTGATCCCAGGACCCTGAGATCATGACCTGAGCCAAAGGCAGACGCTTAATAGCTGGGCTACCCGGGTGCCCCATGGCCATAATTTAATTAAAATTTATTTAGACTACAGAGAGAGAAATAAAGGCACATTCTGCCATTCCTAGATGATCCTAAATTTTGAGCAGTTTTTAGACAACTAGAGTTTATTCCAGCAGACATTGGTGTGAAGCACCTTTTCCAAAGAAGTACCAAGTGTTTCAAGTTCTTGGCTTTTTGTCCACCCATCTTACATTCCTACAAAGGTTTTAAACTAAATGAAGCTGTCTGGAAAAGTGGACACAACTAGCAAGTATGGAAGAGAGAGTGATTCTGGTTAGTTTTAGAAGAAAATGAAATTTGTGGTTTCTTAGCTTCAACAGCTCTACTTTTAAGGAGCAAATGTGACACAGACTCCTAGTGCCTGACTTCAGTGTTCTGGATTTTACTCTTGGTTCACTATTTTACTAGGTAGAGCTGGGATGTGGATCTTAGCTCTGCCACTCTTTCTCTCTTTTTCTCTCTCTTGTTGCATTGATCAGAAGCTTTATAAATTATTACTACTATTTTTACTGTTGATATACAAATTAGTCTTTTTCTTCATATAGATCAAGCTTCTGAAATTCAGGTGACAATGATGCTCACTGAAAGTTGTAAGCTACGAGGTCTTCATCACAGGTGAGAGAAGAAACCACCCAGCACTTAAGTGTTAATAAGCATGGTAACATTGTATGCTACATTTTTATTTTAAGAACGTTGTGATATGTTCTGAATTGAAAGCTTTTTGGAGTAGCTTTTTTTTTTTTAAGAATATTAAAGTGAAATGCGTGCCTAGTGCACAAAATTTAAAAATGCAGTGAAGTATAAAGAAGAAAATAAAGCAGAGTATGTAAGTCCACATCTGGATAAACATAGCTAAGCTTTCAAGAGAGTTTTTACATATTTGTATGCGTATTTTCCTTTAAAAAATAGGATAGTGATATATACTAAAAAATATCTGCTATGAAATTTTTTAACAAAGGATACCAAAAACAAGCATAATTAACACCAGTAATCCCGTCTCCTAAATTCAGTGATAGTGAACATTTTGTCTTGTTTGTTTGGTGTTTGTGTATATGTCTATTATCTATCCAGATGATACATAGATACTTATGAGTGTAGAAATATTTTAAAGTAAAATGGATATCTCAACACTTTCAACACTTTCAATTCATTTCCAACATGTAATTCCACACGCCCCATGACGATGTTTTCTTAAATAATCATAACACCATTATTATCTTTAATAAGGTTAATAGGCTTTTTGATATAACAAAACAATGTACCTAACTCTTCATAGAAGTGACTATGAATTCATGTCCACATTTAAAAAAGATATGTAGCAGCTGATTGAATGGATGTACTATGTTTTATATTTAACCAGTGTCTTATTAGGTCATAGTATAATTTAAAAAAAATACTGGTAGTTCTATATAAAGAACTTTTTTTTAAAAAAAGCTTGATTATAAGTCCTCTTCACAGAGCTAAAACGAAAGCTTCTACCTTCTGAGACAGAAAGGGCTTAAATATAGTATTGCACTATGCAGCAGTATCAGTAATGGGGCAAGGTCTTCGTTTTTTGTTTTTTTTTTTAACAGCTTGTAAAGTCAGTTTCGTTTGTATGCCTATTGCAGATTTGGTTGCGTATATTTACAAAAATGGGACAGTGACCATCCCTGTTGGAAGATATTTATGGACTTCTGGGGGAAAAAAACACATGAAAAAGTGATGCATGCAAAAGGCAGCATGCATTTTAATTTCTGGGTACTTTGAGCAGTTACTTGGGTTCTGCCAAAAAATAAGATGACTATGCAGAGTTCTGTTTTGAATGTCATTTATACTTTTGTTCATATTTGAAAGAATTTGAGAACCTAAAAAGAAGGCAGCAGTTGTAAGATTAATAAAATGGTAATGAAAATCAAACTGAGTTTTATGGCATTGTGATGGTGGAAGAGAAAACAAATAAGCCAACAATGAAGACACAAATATTTTTGCTGTGATTGAACATAAAACATCTCTTAGCTTCTGGGCAGTCAGGCTTGAGGAACCACTAAAAGTTGATAAATCTCAGTATTAGAAGAGAAACAACCATAAATATTCCTTGGGGGAGGAAAAAAGGTTTTCTAGTTTCAAATTGTGAGGCAGCTGCCTCATTAAGCTTATAATCTACTTGGGACATTGATTAATATAACTGAACAGATAAACTTTGTAGTTTCACTGAGTATAAAAAATCCCAGGGACCTTTGAAAAAATTGAACACACAGTACTGAGCGACGGAAGATGTCCCATTGAAGGGTTAAAGTCAAGTGGTTGAAGAAAGTTATCTTCCATTGGCCTGATTCAGTCCAAGTGTAGAACTTACAGAGGAATGGATGGCTAACTCATTCCTGAGACTGTATTTTCTAAAAAACACATTTTGTTTCCTCTGAGTAACAAAATAAGAATTGGTTAATGGTCATTTGGAAATGTCCTTCTTGGCAGTATTGGAAATGCTTGATGTTCTCTTATGCTGACACTAGGGGGAAGAGTCAAAAGTGTTTAATACTAGTATGTAATGTTAATCTAGTACTTCGGTACCTACCTGATATTCTTACCCTGGTAGAAGGTCTGCACCACTTCAGCACAGGAGTGGGAGACTGGACAAATCCAGACAAAGCCAGGATTTTCCTAAGAAGCAGTTTTATATCCATTGTAGCCCAAAGATGGTTTGGCTGAAAAAATGTTCAGAACAAGTATTTGGAGCATTTTTCATGTGGCTTTTCAGCTGTAGTGTTTTCCAGCCAGCATCCTATCAGGATGAATTAGCAGCCCCAAGACACCCTTGGGTGATGGAATTCCACATGCTAAATGGGGTTGATACTGGACATTCAGTGATTGGGGAAAGTCTTCTAGAGGCAAATTGTGTAGCTTAGTCATAGTTAATTGTTCTTCCTGGCTATACAGTAATACCAGGACTCCTAGGTTTTTTGCTTTTTGTTTTTTTAAGTAGGTGCCACACCCATTGTGGAGCCCAATGCAGGGCTTGACCCTGAGATCAAGACATGAGCTGAAATCAAGTGTTGGATGCTTAACTGACTGAGGCACTCAGGAGCCCAGGACTCCTAATTTTTAATGAGCAAAACATATTGTCAATATGTAGAAAATACATTATTATTCTTTACACTCATTGTTGCAGGCTTTTTCACTTTTAAGGGTACTAGGGCCTACCATGCTTTTCTTTCTGACCCCTGGTGTTATGGCTGTGTCTGTGCATTTATTTGTTCATTGGCTTATTCTTTTTTTATTTTATTTTATTTATTTATTTGACAGAGAGAGAGATAGCAAGAGCAGTAACACAAGCAGGTGGAGTGGGAGAGGGTGAAGCTAGCTTCCCACTGAGCAGGGAGCCCGATGTGGGGCTCGATCCCAGGACTCTGGGATCATGACCTGAGCTGAAGGCAGACGCATAACGACTGAGCCACCCAGGCGCCCCTCATTCGCTTATTCTAATTCATGAAGTGCCAATTTTGCACTTGCAACTCTGCTAGGCCTGAGGGATAAAAATGAACTTAATGAGCTTCAGTGTTCATATTACAGAACTTATCAAGCAAACGAAATACACTCAGTAAGAAATGATGCCTTGTTTCAGAATTTAACTTTTTAGAACTGGTTGTGGTGTATAATTCCACATGCAAAACATGTTTACTTCGTGTTTTAACATTCCACAGGTAAGAATTGTAAAGTGTTGAAATATTTTAAAGCATTTTGAAAGTTTTTATTCCTTTTTCCACTGGAATTTGTGAGAATAATTTTTACTGTAAGTTAAAATAGCTGTAGAAATAAAATTTATTTTATTTTAATTGTAACTTAATTTAATGACATCAGAAGTGCTTCATAACAGAGTGCTCTTGAGTTATTTCTCCTTGTAGTTTGGCTCTCCACTGGCCCAAGCTGCCTGATGGCGACCTTCTTAACACTGAGTGCCTCCTAGCTCTCCCTCTGCAAGCACACTGGGCAAGACTGAGAACTAGATGCAGTTCTTGTCTCATGTCCCCACAAAACTTTCCCTTCCTCTGCCTTGTTCTTGTCTACAGCACCAGTTTCTGCTTTCATCCATTCTTCATCTAGGTCCCAGATCTTCCTCTTTATCCTCCTTTCCTTTATAAAATGGACAGAATGAAGACCAGCCATTTTGTACTTTAAAACATCTTCATGCGGCTTGTTACCTCTTCTGGAGGGCTTTTAATGATTTGATCTCAAAAAGCACTAAAATACCTTTAACTGTTCAGTGGATTTCAGACATGAGGAGAGGAGCAGAGGAGTAATTTTGGGGAGGGGGGTTTGAGAGATCGGGTAACTCCATTACTTCTAAAATCATGGTGTGCTCAGTTAAACCTGAATGCAGACCTGCTGTAGTCATTTTAGTGTGCATGCGACTTGGTGTGAAAAGAGGCTCTGTCACTTCCCTTGTATTCTTTCTTGCTCTCCTGGGAGGGCATATCCATTGGTCCAGGGGAAAGCACAAGGGTTTCTGGAATCAGATGAAGCTTTGAATTTTTTTCTCCATGCACTTGTTGTTTGTCCTTGGCAGATTATCTAACCTCTCTCTCTATGGGTTTCCTCACAAAGTGGGACTAATCATCACTGGCACTGTTAGACTGAAATGCAAGCAGAAGCTGTACTTAGAGGGGTTACCTTGTGCAAGTTTACTCATCTCTGAGTCCTCATTTTCCGCTCCTTGGGGTTAGTGCTTTCCCTTTTAGTAACTCCTGTGCAGCATGAAGGGAGCCCATAGCTTTCACTTGGGCACTGTTGGGCCAGAATTGTGTGACTGTGCTTTTAAAAGAGACACATGCTCAATTGAGACAATTGAGACAATTTAGAAAATCCAGAAACGGCAAGGTAGCAAGCAAGGTAGAAATGATCTAAAGCCCTGCAACTCAAAGACAACAACTTTTAATTCTTGTCCTATTTTTGTGCAGAGTTTTATTAGTTTTTCTCCATGTTTGGAATTATCCTGCAAACATATGTGAATTTTGTACCTTGCTTTCCTATAAGATAAACATTTACTCCTCTTAACATCTTTTTGTGACCATTTAATTGTTATATACTGTCCTATGATTTGGGTGTACTCTTGCCTTACATTTGCACGTTGAAGTCGTTTGCAACTTTTTGCTATTAATATTGCATTAACTATCCTTGTTCATGTAGCTTTTTAATGTTTAATATTTCCTTATTAAATATCTTTAGAGGCAAAATTTGCTAAGTTAAGGAATAGGAATGTTTTTAAGGCTATGTTACTTGTGTTGTCAGATACTTATTAAATGCTTATTTTTTGTGGCACAAAATACAGAGCATTGGGTATAAAAATAAGAGTTCATGTTAGTTTTTGCATTTTAGAAATTTTTAGCATAGTGGGGAAAATGAGATAATTATGTATAAAGTTACATAACCTTGGAGAAAATTAAATTATTTCCAGATACCAGTGGAAAGAGGTGTCATTAGGCAATAGGATGAAAGTATTTATGTGTGCCATGGAAATTTAAAGAGAAACAAGAATGCTTTGGCTTTATTCATAACAGCATTTTATGGTTGGTGTGATGCCATGTTAGAGGTATGGAAACTAAGGCCAGGAGAGATAGTCACACAGACTATCTATAAATGGTAAATACAGGATTTAGAAATCAGATTCTAAGTCTCATGTGACCAGCTAAGGATATCTTGGCTGTTGTGGCAGTTGAAGCCTCTTTGAGGTCTTCTTGATGATCATATTCTGGTCCATAGTCTGCATGGGGGTCTTTTTTTTTCTTCTTTAATGTGTTGATGGACTTAAGGGTATGTTATAATACACTCATAATGCGTTAAGTCATTTTTAAATGTCTCTGATTACCCTTTAAGAGTAAAGATTTAGTGTGGCTAGAGTGTGTCTTCAGAGAATCCAGTCCACAGGAAACAACTTCGAGTTTATAGCTTTTCCCTACCAAGAAAGTGCATATGTAGAAAATACTGAAGTCTAGTTTTAAAGGGCATTTGTTAATTTTATTGCATTTTTAAAGGTAATCATGTTTTTAAGTATGTTTGAGATTTTCTTGTTTTGTTTTAGGTTATCTTTATTACTTTTTATTAAAAATAAGCCTTTGAGGTTTTAGATTTCACTTGTCTTTTTCCTGATTTCTTGTTATTTTGTAGAAACCTTCTTCCTATTACGCATGTGTGTATAGAAGACGGAGAAAAACCCATGGTGATACTGCCTTACATGAATTGGGGGAACCTTAAATTGTTTTTACGGCAGTGCAAATTAGTAGAGGCCAATAATCCACAGGTGAGAAAAATTTGCCCAGATATCAATTATTTACCAGGAACTTCTGATAGTATCTTTGAAAGTAGATGTTAACCTTCTTGTATATAAACTGTGTAAAAGCCTGCAAAAAGAAAATGAGCCAGAAGATAATTATAACCTGTTGATTTAGAGGAAGATGGTTTATGATTCCTGTCTTGAAGGTTGCACTTTACTGATGCTGAAGTTTTTCCTTTTTCTCCATTGTGTGTTTATTTATAATCACCTCAACTCTAACACCATCTCCGTCATTTTCCTGATAACTCTTTGAAGGCACTGGTACTAGATCTCCCTTCTAGGAATGGAAACACACTTGACTGAGTCATTTGGTCCATATTGTATCAAAAGCTGGTGGTGACTGGAAGTCTGGATCATGGAGATAATTGGATCTATTTTTAATATGCTTGGCTGTAAGATGTCAGTCATCTAAGAGTTTCCTTCTCTTCACTGCTTGTGCACATAGCTGTGAAGCATTTGGCTACATTCCAGACGCATGGTGGTAGTTATCCTAAAGCGTAGCTGTTGTTTTGTTGCCTACTGTAACTTGTAGCCATATTAAGTTTGTTTTAGGGTTTATAATAGTGTACGTACTATGGTTACCAGGAGAAAGTGGATTCAAAGGCTGCATTGAGTACTTGACTTAATATGTCACTATGCTTTGTAAATTGACAGGATTAAAGCCAGGGTTCCAACAAGTTGTTGGAGGCTGTAGCCCATCAGCATCACCTGAGGAAGAGTTTCATTCCTCAGCCCACAAGACTGGTATCCTGGCTCTACGAGGAACACGTCAGTAGTGAGAGCTGTAGACTTCTGTTAGCTAGAAAATGGTCCCCAGAGATCATCTAATAAAAACTATGAGTTTTAAAGAAGAGAACAGGTTACTGAATAGTAAGCACTGGAAATTTTACCTTGAGAGTCATGGAACAAATAATTATTGAGCAGCTACTATATGTGCTGGATGTTGGGGAGCTTACCTGACAGATGAGAGAGGCGGTAAAGTAAATGGTAAGTTATATTACAGAATGGTAAGGCTGTAGTAGATACAAATATTAGGGAGCTATGAGAACATATTCTTGGTCAAGAAGTAGGTTTTTAAAACTCCATGTGTAGGTGTGAAGAAGTATTTTGGGATGGAGTAGGACTGTGGAATAAAATAAGCAGCTGACTGCCATCATCATTTTTGTGCTAACTGCAAACGTCTTTTTTTTTTTTTTTTTAAACCACAGGCAATTTCTCAACAAGACCTGGTACACATGGCTATTCAGATTGCCTGTGGAATGAGCTATCTGGCCAGAAGGGAAGTTATCCACAAAGACCTGGCTGCTAGGAACTGTGTGTAGGTGCCATGAGCTCATCATGTCATTTCAGTGGACTGGGGGCTCTCCCCAGGAGTCACAGTGGGCATCGTATGGTATTGAAGAATAACTGTGATCCATATGTTTTAAATACGCCAATTGTATTTGATGTTCATGTCTCTACTTTTCAGCATTGATGACACACTCCAAGTTAAGATCACAGACAATGCCCTCTCCAGAGATTTGTTCCCCATGGACTATCACTGTCTGGGGGACAACGAAAACAGGCCAGTTCGGTGGATGGCTCTGGAAAGTCTGGTTAATAATGAGTTCTCCAGTGCTAGTGATGTGGTAAGTTCTGGAACTCCTGGATATCAGCAGGCTTTATGTTTTAATTTTTTTTTTCTATCTTTTTAAATCTAGTAATTGTTCCCTGAAATATTTCAATGAGAAAGCAAGCGTAGTTAGCTCCATTCAGTCAGTTTCTGGAAAGAAGCTGTGCCCCAAACCATGATCTGTGACTGTGCATAATCACATTTCATCCTCAGAGTAGCCCTGTGAGGGGGCTGTTAACACTATGAAGTAGCTGGACACTAATATCCCAATTTTAAAGGTGGATATCAAGGCTTAGAGAGGTTTCCATAGCTGATTATTTTTCTTTCTTATTTAAGTCTCAGAATGACCAACTGGTTGCCAGATCATAGAGATTTATTGTTTTCTTCTTTTCAAACAACCTCTTCCAACATTATGACCTGTGTAATTTATAATTCCCCAGATGTCACTCTCTTCCCTTTTGTCGGTTTCTGAGTAGTTCTGCCCACCAGAGCAGATCATATAGTGGGATCTTTTATACTTAGTGATGAATAGTTTCAGAAGCCATGTTTACTTGTGGGTATTTTGCAGATATTTTAAGTTGCTTTTATTTTTTATTTTTTGAATATTTATTTGTCAGGGAGAGAGAGAGCACAAGCAGGTGGAGTAGCAGGCAGAGGGAGAGGGAGAAGCAGGCTCCCTGCTGAGCAAGGAGCCCGATGCCGGGCTGATTCCAGGACCCCGGGATCATGACCCGACCCGAAGGCAGACGCTTAACCAACTGAGCCACCCAGGCACCCCTTAAGTGGCTTTTAATTTCTCATTTTTAGTCGGATTTGAAAGATGGATTTATTTTCCTGTCTCTTGCTTATTGTAGTTTATTATTGTAGCTGAATAGCTAGAGATTAGGTGAAACTTGGGCTTATAAGGTCCCACTCTGTGACCACTCAACGATGTTAGTGTTTGTTACTTATAAAATCTTATAGATTGTTTGCTTCAAAGTTTCAGTTGTAAAAATCGGGCTTACTATATCATTGTATCTTGTGTCTCATCAATATGTTTTATTTACAGTATAGGGTTACCCTTTTACTTCCAAGTTTGTATGGTTTAAGGATTACTCTCTTAATATTCTCATTTCCCCAGTGTTATTAGTGTCCTCTGGATGCTATAGCAAATTATTGCAACTTTGGTGGTAAAACAACAGATTTATTCTCACAGTTGAGTTCTGGAGGTCAGATGTCTGATATCAAGGTGTAGGCAGGGCCATGCTCCCTCCAGAGGTCCTAACGGGGAAACCGTCCTTCTTCCGGCTTCGGGTGGCTGTTAGCATCCTTCATGGCTGCATCTCTCTGCTTCTTGTTCATATCACCTTCTCCTCTGTGTATGTCTGTCTCTTAAAACTCCTGCCTCTCCCTTATGAAGATAATGTGATTGCCTTTAGGACCCACCTATATAATATAGGATAAGCTTTTTTGAGGGGAGGAAAGGGTTGCATTTTTGTTTTTGATTTTTAGTTTTCTCAAATAATGTGAAAAGAGAAAGCAGAGTTTGATTTTAGGCTACCACATGGCTGCTGTATTGAATATCATTAAGGACCAATTTTACTCTTACTGATATCGTACTAGTTTTGGGGGTTGCCAGATCTTTATTTAGAAGTTCTGAATTATAGCTGGAATTCTTTGCCACTTCTACATTAAGCAAAGCTGTTTTCACAGGGGTGCAAATGAGTTTAACTTTGGTTTTAGCACATAGCTTTAAAACAGTATCAGTTAAATGAGAACTATATGGTTTTCAAATCTACCCCTTGAGTAGAAAGGCTTACATCTGAATGTTTTTGAATGCAGGAAAGTAAAAGAAACTTTGTTCATTATTATTATTTTTTTTAATCTTACTCTGTTGTTGATTTAAAATATTAAGTCACTCATCTCTTTGGGATCTTTGTATTTTTTTCAGTGGTTGATTTTTGAAATTTATGATTTTGTTACTCATTGAAATATAGCATAATTGCCTTAGCAGAAATGAAGGGGCAATTGTGTTGAACCCAAAACTAGTCTAATGGGCAGGAAATAGATGTTTCTTAAACAAGTATGCCATGTAACTTCAAAAGATTGGGGATTGTTTGATTATTCTCTTAAAAAAATGATTATTCTCTTAGAAAAAGGAATATTGATTGATTGGTAATATTTCAAGGGGATATACAAGATGGCCAGTAATGCTGTTTGCTTACACATGGAAGCCCCCAAATTATGCATTGCTTAATTTAATGTATTTGTATATTTCTGTGTAAGGCATTCCATTGTATATTTAAGCAGTAATAGGAATTGTGTTTTACAACATTTATGATTAAATATTTCACAGGAACACCTAAGTGAAAATTAAATTAGATAATACAGTTTCGACCAGTGAGACTAATAGTACATCCCTCAGTAATGTGATCTACATCTTTTCAGCCAGGGACACTGTCCTGTTAGCTGATAAAATCTGAGTTGAGGATACGTGATTTAGTTAAGCAAATATTTCAAAATTATACTTAGAATTAGTTACTTTTATGGTTATGGTATTTTAGAAATTTTGCAGGAGTTGACATATTTTATGTTAGAATTTGTTTTCTGTCAGAATGTAGTTGTACTAGATATCTTGTTGCTGCTTGAGCACTTGACAGCTTTATTTTTAAAAAATCTCTGTGAACTTAATGGTGAGCAACTTAACAGGAGACTTACTTTAAAATCATGATTACTTTTAGTGTGTCTTGGCATAAACTTACTTGAAATGTCTGTGTGACCCAAATTCTTCTGGCTATACTTAAAATGTGATGGTGACAGTACCCATTGATTTACATTTAGCATGGTTAACCCCTAAAATGTTCAGATTTTTCTTCTTTATATTCTTAGTAATTCATTTCTTTTAAAGTATATGTACATATATATATATATTTTTTTCCCTAAATATCTTGCCTTGGATAATTAAGATTAAAAGGAATAGGAACACTGCTCTGTTTCCTATGACTGTGATACAAATATTAGTGTAAAAATCCATTTTTCAGTTTTCTGGGATTGAATATTTTTGAATTCTTTTTTTTAAGATTTTATTTATTTGAGAGAGAGCACAGAGGGAGACTGAGAGGGAGAAGCAGACTCCTCACTGTGCAGAGAGCCCTACACGGGGCTCGGGGCTCGATCCCAAGACCCTGAGACCATGACCTGAGCCAAAGGCAGATGCTTAACTGACTGAGCCACCCAGGCGCCCCTACTTTTTGAATTCTTACATTAAAACACAAATGTTAAAGATTGTTTTTTAACATTTGTATTGAAAATATATACATATAATCATTATTCTCTGTTCCTGTTTTTCTTTTATAGATGGAGTTGGGGGTTCAAAAACTACACTTAATATGCTACTTTGGGGCTGGGAAACTTTATACATAGTCATATGCAAAATAAGTAATGTAAAGCCACTCTCACCAGTCTACACATGTAAAATACATATTTCAGGTTTAAATGTAACACTTAAGAAATGGTATTACTGCCTTGGAGAGGGCGTTTTCTTTGTCCTTTAAAAGATCCTTAACATTTTTGCATTTTTTTTATAGTTGAAAGTTCTGTGTGATTTGTTTGGAAATACATTAATGTGTTCCATCTTAAAAATAATACATTGCATCTCTTGTGTTTTTACAGTTTTTACTGAAAGGATTCAATACTTCAGTATGTCAAGATTCTTATAATGTTAATATCAACTTTTAACTGTTGAACTTAGGAAATATGCACAACTAGATTTTGACTAGTTATAAATCTCTTTTATTATTCCAAGCTATGACATCATCTTAGGCAGTCTTAAGAATTTCTGGATATTGTTTTCATCAGATGTAGATACCACCATAGATTTTTTTCTGTAATTTTCTTTTCTTTATTTGAAAATAGATTTCTTGATTTATATCTTCTTTCAATTATTTAGGTAATTATTGTAGCTAACATAATTCCGCTGTTAAGAAACTACATCCTACTAAGAGACTAAATGCAATCAGGAATGCACAATTAAGTTTCTTTCTTGGTGCTTTTTTGTGTTTACAGTATTACATTGTGTTTAAAAAACATTTTCTTGGGAAAAACAAGTTAAGGAAATGATTTCCATGCTAATCTTATCAGCATGGCTTATAGCAATGAGGAGACTCTTTAAGGTATTTGAACAGTTTTTAGGGTGTAAATTAAAATGTGTTCCTGTGCCTTTACAATATTTATTTTGTGAACATTAAAGATGACCTAGAAGAAGAAGGGAAATCTGCAAAGTTATCCAGATACTATATCTACAGCAGAGTGCTTCTTACTGCTCTTGTTTGCCCAGTGTCATGGAAAGTCATTGCCACACCCTGAGCAGACTTGAGCAGGAGAAACTCACATTCATAATATACCCATGAAGAGTGGTCTTCTGAACTAATGTGGTATCAAAGAGAAAGGTCCAGTTTTCAGAGAATGCTTACTGTTTTTAAAAGTACGGAAAATTTTCTGTTTTATGTTGTTTCTTTCTTGTTAATTTTAGAATAATGCTTAGGTTCCCAGTATTTATTCCTTTCCATTATGGTTGTAAATTTTACACGTCAACAACCTTAGACTTATTTAAACATAAAATTCACATTTTAAGAGGAATAGCATTGTATGGTGACAAATTGTAGCTAACACTTGTGAGCAGAGCATAACGTATAAACTTGTTGAATCACTGTGTTGTACACCTGAAACTAATGTAACATTGTGTGGCAACTATACTTCAATAAAAAATAACTAAATAAATAAAAACTAGCATTAAGAGGAATTGATATAAAGACATTAAGGAAAACCTGGAGAGGTGAAAGGATCATTCAGATATTAAGAAATAAAGATTGAAAGTTTAATATTATTAACATTAAGAAAATATTTTTTAGTTGTATTTAATATTATTTTAATAGTCCTAGTATTTTCTGGAAAAGAGGAATAAATGGATTTACTTTAGGAATAGTTGTTATATTTTCAGAGGTGGCTGGTTGCTGTCTTGTGATCAGGTATTGCCCT